GGGCTTAAATCTCTATTGTAGACTGGGACTTATTTCAAGTCGCTGTCCTTTACCTTGATTTATTTCTTCAAAACTCAATTTTGTCCTCTGTCTTTGCGATTTCACGGTAAGTTATTTTTCATTTAGCGAAGAATCGTTGTATTACAACACAGATCCAAAATGTATAATCCAAGTAGGCGTTTACTTGTCTCTCGCCGCGAGCAGTCTGTGATTATTAAGTTAACCTATCACATGGCTATAAACACATCGGATCCTGAAGCAAGATCCAAAGAATATATGAAGTATACACAAGTATTGGGACTAAAGGAGATCGTATATTTATTCCTTTACAAGTACTCGTTTTTCTGCATCACAAATAATTCGATGGTTGAGATAAAATATTCCATTGCAGGAGTGAAATTCGTCCCAAATAATGTATACTTTGCGGCGAGACATTTATAACGGTTCTAATAAAATTACTTAAGCTCATACAGATACTATAATGTCTAAAGAAAAACGTATTTAATGCTAAATTACGAGAAAGTTTCTTTAATCGAGCCGGTTTTAAGCTATAAAAATATGCAGCTTGTTACGGTAGACTGTAGAAAAGATTTTGCAGATTAACACGCGGACTCCTGACAATCGCAAATCGGTTTGAAAATATGTTGAAAAAGCCCGAAATCTAAAATTTCTAGATTTGCCCTTCATTTTCTTCCAGAAAAATATGGTCACCGTAGCTATTGTATATCCCGAGAACGTCCGTCCGAAGTATCACTGAGAACTCAGCGAGCAGAAGAATATAAAGGAAATAAACGACAACTCGCACTTGAAGCCGCCTTTGAGAACAGAGAGCAAGAAAGTTTTGCCGAAACGCAGTGGCGTACGACCGAAAAAACTGTTGCTGACGATTCAAACGGTTGGGCCGCGACCGATTTAAATAAAAAAAACCCCCGAACCGATTTAGTAAAATGAATACGGTAGAAGATAACCGACTATACGTAAAAGTTGTCGTGGGCAAGCATCAAACTACGGCCCTCATCGATCCAGGATCGGTCTTCTCGTATATTAACGAAGAAACTGCAAGAATCTGCCGAAACAACAATTGGAAAGAAAAACCGAGCAGACGAATTGCATTCTTAGCCGACGGCACCAAAACCGTACTCATAAGTAGTCTCACCGGACCGATATATACGATGGGAAAAACATTTGAGCAACAGTTTTATGTTATGAAACATTTAGATCTTGACATATTGCTGGGCATGAATGCACTAAAAAAATTAGAAATAGAGATCCGACTAAACGGGCACTTAATCAAGAATCCAAACAACGGAACGAGCATGGGCTCGATAGAAAATCAGACTGAACTATCGCATCTTAGAGAGTCCGAAAAAACTGAAACTTTCCTTAAAACAGAGATGAAGAAATCTGAGGAAATCAAAGGGATCACCCCTTTCAACCAGCGTAAGGGTCAGCTGGAAGATCCTACGCTTATCAAACAAAACTATAAGCCTGGGAACCCAGCAACGCCACGTCAAACACGGGACATCAAAATTGACGACGTCCTGCTGAAGGTGCCCATCGGGATGGCCCGATTCAGGATACGCGTCGGGCGTTTCAAGTACGCCCTGCGGCTCGACGCAGCGTCCGGAGATTTGCGCCATTGGAGCCGCCGCCAACTGGAGTAATCGTAACGTAACTCGTATAAATCTCTCCCGAGAGCAGAATTCCGGAAGAGAGGGGAGTGTAACGAGAATAATTCGAGAGCGCGCGACAAGCCTGCAACGTGAGTGAGAGCGCGACACGAGCGGGCGAAAAGTTACATCGCGAGACGAAATCCAAAATTACAGCGTTTTCGACCACTCAATCATTTATCGTTTTTCTTTTTGAGACGCACAGCGTTCCAATTCACTGTTTTCTTTTCTTCTTTATACTTTACGCAGCAGCGCCATTCAATATTGTAATCAATTAAGGTATAATTTCGTAAGCGCGATCTATCTTATTTTCAAGCGATTACAACTGTCTTCCGGAAAAACCGAACCGTTTCCAAAGTTCTCTTTCCTTCTCACTCGACCCTGACAGCCGAACCTGTCCGGTAGGGGAAGTAGAGAACCGCGATACCGCGAATGGAAGAGAAAATATTGACGTTACAAATATAGTGATTATTCATATAGTATATATAAAACTTATTTTTACAATTTTTCCAAGTGAGAAAAACCTTTACTGGAAATGCCGCGGTCACATTTTAATATCAATTTATATAGAAGCGAATGTATATTTTTGACGTCATGTATTAATACATGACTGTTTTTTTTCTAATATACAGAGCGACGAGTTTTACTTTCACGGTCGTGCATTATATGCACTAATAAAATACATAAAATTACAAAGTTTCAGTGAGGAGAGAAATCTCTCTTATTTAGTATCAGAACAAAAATAAGTCGTCCTCGTTTTAAGAAGGAAACGTAGGAAAGTGAAGGCGCAATAGAGGGTGCTGAACAAATTGTAGTTTATTGTCCGATAACAGAAAAGGATAATTTCCTAAGGCCCCGGTCACTTCGCGTTTGTCTCTTTCTAAAGTAACAGTTTGAATTAAGCACAATGTCGCGCCTGTCGCCACGAGCCACGAGCCCGCGCGGAAACGGCCGATTCGAGCCGAGTCGGGCGAGTCGAGTCGGCGTCTCGTTCAACCGTGTTGTCGCGAGATAAATAACTCCGTCAGTCACTTAGCCGCGACGGATTTGGTTTCCGGCTGTCTCCGAACACTAAGGAATTCAACAGAGAGAGAGACTCGGACACAGGACTTGGTAACTTTGTTAAAATTGTTGGGCGAGTCGGAGAAGCGGGGTTACCCTAACCTCTACGGTTCTACACCGCGACGTCGGGGCAGGATCCCGAGTTCGCCGAGGCCAAGTCTAGGATTTCGTCCCCGGTGCGGAATATGAGGTGCGTAACAGCGTCTTCCTCGACGTAAACCGCGAAACCGTGTGTCGTCGCGGCTAACACTCGCTCGGAACTTGCATCGCGCAGATAACCTCGACGATGAGCTACAACAAGAAGGTGGCGTATTTCTACAATCCGGAGGTGGGCAACTTCCACTACGGGCCGGGGCATCCCATGAAGCCGCACCGGCTGTCCGTGATTCACAGCCTCGTGCTCAACTACGGCCTCCACAGGAAGATGCAGATCTACCGGCCGTACCGCGCCAGCACCCACGACATGTGCCGCTTCCACTCCGAGGACTACGTCGAGTTCTTGCAGCGCGTCACGCCACAGAACCTCCAGGGCTACACCAAATACCTGAGCCACTTCAACGTGGGGGACGACTGTCCCGTGTTCGACGGCCTTTTCGACTTCTGCTCCATGTACACCGGCGCTTCGCTGGACGGTGCGACCAAGCTCAACAACAATTGCTGCGACATCGCCGTCAACTGGAGCGGCGGTCTGCACCACGCCAAGAAATTCGAGGCGTCCGGCTTCTGCTACATCAACGACATTGTCATCGCTATACTAGAATTGCTCAAATATCGCGCCCGGGTGCTGTACATCGATATCGATGTGCATCACGGGGACGGTGTGCAGGAGGCCTTCTACCTCACCGACCGCGTCATGACTGTGTCGTTTCACAAATACGGCAATTACTTCTTCCCCGGTACTGGCGATATGTACGAGATCGGGGCCGAAAGCGGCCGTTACTATTCCGTCAACGTGCCGCTCAAGGAGGGCATCGACGACACGTCGTACATCCAGGTCTTCAAGCCCGTTATATCTCACGTGATGGAGTTCTTCCAGCCGACGGCGATAGTGCTGCAATGCGGGGCCGATTCCCTCGCCAACGATCGGCTCGGATGCTTCAGTCTCAGCACCAAGGGCCACGGCGATTGCGTGAAATTCGTGAGGGACCTGAACGTACCGTTGCTAACCGTCGGTGGCGGTGGTTACACATTGCGTAACGTCGCCAGATGCTGGACCTACGAGACGTCCCTGCTCGTGGACGAGCAGATCAGCAACGAGCTACCGTACACCGAGTATCTGGAGTACTTCGCGCCGGACTTCACCCTACATCCCGAGGTCGTCACCAGGCAGGATAATGCCAACAGCAAGCAGTATTTGGAGGCCATTACGAGACACGTGTGCGACAATCTCAAGATGATTCAGCACTCGCCGAGCGTGCAGATGCAGGACGTGCCGTGCGACGCGCTGCCACCGGAGGAGGACAGGCAGCCGGAGCCAGATCCAGACTCCCGACAGAATCCGCAGGACACGGACAAGATTGTCGAGCCGGCGAACGAGTATTACGCCGGCGACAAAGATCAGGACAAGATGGACGTGAGCGACTCGTGATGAAGGCAGTATTTACAGTTTACGGGAAAATGTGAGGACCGCACGAGTCTTCGTGTAAATTAGAGCCGACGCGATCCAGCAAATTGTATACAATCTTGGAATAACTCAACTTCTTCGATGGACCAGCAACAGAGAAACTGCCTCTCAGACGACTGACTCCAAATAGACGCTGTTGTGCAATTACTGAATTTTACCTGTCGAGACTAGAGATTTATGAAACAAAACGAACAAGCTTTATTTTCGAGGCGATGCATACTTTTTAAGTTTTTTTTACGACGCATGAATGTAAATATGCGAAACTGTACAGACTGATTTGTTTATACTGACAAAACAAGCATGTTTTACTCAAATAAATTTCGTAGACTTTGGACAAACGTGCGACGGGCACCTACATCTCTTACGACACGTCCGATATTACTGTCGAAGGGACAAGTTGTATTTTTTTTTTAATTGAAAGAACGATGTGCGACACGATTACTCAGGATATCTAGATCTTAAATATCCATTAGGCAAGTTTATTGTTTTACATCGGACATACAATATCCGTAATGTCTACAAATGGTACAACAACGACGATGAGGACGATATTAATAGCGATAATAGTAAAATAATAGTAATAGCAATAACGATAACGTCTGTATCTCTGTCTCGGGGCTATCTTGCTATATCACAGAGAACTTAATCCTCGCACGACACAATTGTTTCCTTTTAGAGCTCTTTCTTGCTTCCTTAACTAGAGTAGAAACGCAAAATGATTCCCTCCGGGGGAGAGGGGGGAGAGGGGACACGGGGTGGAGGAGCGGACGGACCTCTCCGCTTGGTAAGAGCGCTAAATGCGACTAATTGCAATAAATTAGGTCTCTTAAATTAAGGCGCTTCGTTCTGTACATTCGTATTTTGTAAACTCTACAAAAAAGTTTCTCGAAAAATAATACACGTACAAAAATATTCGGTACGAGAGGAACGCAAATACTCGATTTCCGATTCACTTCTTTGTAAGAACGGTGCAAAAAGACTACGATGCAGAGGCAATGCGTGCGCACTCTTCGCCAACGCGTAACGCCGGGGCTTCGTCTTTGAGGAACGCCGCGCGCGGTTGCACGCGACTCGCTTTCGTTCGCAGAGCTTACAATTACGTAGCTTCTTTTTCTCAAGTGAAAGATTCTTTTCGAATTCGCTCGTGCCCTACAAAGCGCACACGCCACATATGTACGTGCACATATATATGCGAATATATATATATATATATAAAGTTTTCAGTCTCATAGTAACGGCAATTCCATTTGGTGTTTGGTCTTCCATCGAACTCCGCATATACTCCGGTGATTCGTACGCTATGTGATTCGAAACTATATACAACGCGTACAAGAGGATATAATTAGTAGGCAGTGCTGATCCAGCGATCCTCGACGAATCTTCAGAATCTTTCTTGCTGCGCAGCATTTCTTCTCATTCATAAATTTTGCTTGACTAGATGCTGTTGTTCTTTCTCGCTCGCCTCGCAATGCCGAGCGCGTTCAGTAGCACGTGCCGCCTGACGGGCAATGCAAATGGAATAGTGATCAGTTACGTTTCGAAGTGCTTGTAAATGCTGGTCACATATGTCATGACTTGCTGCCAGTCAGGTCGCTCGAGTTGACACATTTCACCGATGTTCTGTGGCAAGAATGATTCACATTAGTTTCATAAGAATTAGATGTACAATCGCGCGATTTAAACACCGTGTCTTACTATAAATTATTTTAACGAATCGTCGAACTTTATGTACACTTTCGCAGTTAGTCAAAGATAATTTGTTATTTACCAGAGTGGTTGGTATGCCAACGCTCTCGGCGGCGGCGAAGGCGATCGAGAAGTTACGCCGCTTTTCGACCGGCGTCAACGTGTCGTACGGTACTTTCCGCGGTAGATAGGAGTGCAGAATCGCGCACAACGCTAGGCCATCGTTCCAGGAACTGCTGAAGTTAGTTATGTCGATATTCCGGTAGCCTATCGTCTTATTTTGACACCACTTGAGCAGGGCGTTACGCTTGGACCCGCCGTTCTTCACCAAGCCACACAGGGGATCCTTGCGCTCCGACAGATCGGTGACGCTGTTTCGACGCACGAAGTCGATCGCCTTGGCGTTCAAAGCGGCCGAATCCAGCAATTCGCCCGGGCTCAATACCACAGGCGTCGACTTTGTTTCTGCATGCGAACCACCAAAGCACACGATTAGGCACGAAGAGCGTAACAAGGTTTGTAACTTTTTAACGAGCCTTTCGAAGTTCGCGGCATTTTTAACTGATAATTACCTGATACCGGTTTCTTCGTGATTGCGGATTGTGTTTTGTTATTATTTGTCGAATTCGCCGTGCAGATTAAATTGTTGATTTGCTGTTGGTCTCTGAGAGGTGCCTTCAAAGACATAATATCTGTAGTTCCAATCGAATTTAAAGACGACGTAGAGCTGCTGCGGCTGCCAGGTCCTTAAAAACATGAAACAGGTCGGTTCTTTAAATTTTGAGTTTTTATTCCCGAAAGATATTAATTTCGCAGAGCGAAATATTATTTCATCTATTATTTCATGTCGCAATTTCGAGTAAATAGCGTCGTGAATGTACATATTTGTCGGTGCTTGTGTATCTAAAAGTGTGATTACTCACCAGCTTTAGCCTGTTTCGTGGCATTTTCGATACTCTCGATCAGACACTTAACGGAAAGCCTCGAGTCTTGACGCGAAATGTTCGCCTTCCTACGAGCAGCAATCTCCTGCTGCACGCTCGTCAGCACGGATTGTTGAGTCTCCGTCGGTGTGCTGGCCGGCCTCGTAGGCGGCTGTTGTATCACTTTTTGATTAGCTGAAAGATTTCAAAGTGTACGTTACTTAGCGAATTTTCATACAAATAATTCTGCGAACAAATACCTGATTAAAGCAACAAGCCATATGTTCGTACATAAGATAAAGCACAGATAATCGATAATTAATATACTTGGACGAAATTGTAAGTCTCCTCGATTCACGGGTAGAAGACGGCACACGCTCGTACGGATTAAGTCAGCGGGGACAAAATGATCTCGTGATAGAAACACAAATAAGCGAGTATACCATATAGCGTGTGAAGGTGCCGAGAAGTCGAGAAACATAAAGAAAGCCAGTTTGGGTGACAGTTAACCAAAGGGGACAATACGAGCGGCACAATGTAGATAGCTAGCGACGCGAAGATACGCAAGTTTTGTATTCTTCGCCGAAATTGGGGAGCCGGGACGGACAACAGGCCGGAGTTTCGCGATACAAGCTGTTCCCACATTGAGAGAGCGACTTACGGTCGCAAGACCCGCCCATTTGCGGACGCCGTCCCGACAGAGTCCTCAATTCCGCGTCCTCTAAGATTGTCTCAAATTTTTCTTTGAAGGATGACGTGCGTCCCATCGGTGGGGGTCGATCCGACTCCAAGTCCGCGTCACTTTGCGGCACCGTAGGTTCCTCGCTCGTTACGCGAAGTTTACTTTCGGACGGAGACCCTTTCCCCAGCTGAGAACTGTTCTCGTTTGCCTGCACGCTACCTTGCAGGAATCTTATGCGATTCAATCGATTCGTCTCGCTCGGACTCGAGCACGTTGGTTCTTGTAACTGTTCGCTATACGCCGGAGACTCGGTTTGGTTTTCCTGATTAATGAAATAAGGCGGTGGTTCCGGCACTTCCGTTGCTTTCTCCAAATGAACACTTGAAACGCCTCCCGGCACGTTCGATGAAACAATTGGAATTAACGAGCGATATTTTGATTTATATGCGATTTCCGAGGGCGTCAACAGTGGATACGATTTCCGTCTCGTTAGAGGAGCGCTTAAGATATCGTGAGAACTCTTTATTTTCTCGCATTCGGTATTTGTACTTCCCGCAGATCTCGGCGAGCTTACTTCGATAGTTTCATCGGGCGAGATTGGTATTTTCGGTTCCTCAAGCATATCAAAAACTTCCCTGTTCCCTGGAATAGCATCGAGACACGGAGATTCCTTCGTAAGTTGATCATCGATGATCACGTGCTTCGCTGTCCATAATTGATTGTTGCGCGATGTTCCTCGTCCTGTCGTTTTGTCTGTTAAGTGAGATGCTTTTAATAGAGGGGATTCATGATTATCATATTTTATTCCCTGTGATTTTTCTTCGTTTTCTTGTTTACTACGACAATTATCAATTGCATCTAATAATTCAGCATGATTTCCAGTTCGTGATTCTACGACCGTTTTTGATGTCAAAGTTGTCTCGTCCAAGGTAGAATCAATTACCTCGCAGTTCGGTTTTGATTCAGGTTTCTTCAAGAACAACTTTTGCCTTTGTTCATTCTTATAACTTTCTTTCGATTTTACACACACGGATGAATCTGAGAGCGATTTTGCAGTCCTGAGATCTGGATTAGCGCGTTGTTTCGTCGAGTCGCTCGGTACGGTCAAAGTTTCCGTTGTTACCGCTGTCTCTAAAGACGACGAACCCATGTCGATGTCGGCGCTCGTGTTGACCTGCGGACTACTGTAACTTCTCTGCAACAGCCTCCCCATTTCCGGATCTACCTCGAATTTCAGATCGTTCATGGAACTTTCCACGCCGGAAAATATGTAATCCTTCGGCACGAAGAATCGACTGTTCGAAATGTTGATGCCGTACGAATCCCCGTTGGCGTTTTGAATACTGCGGATATTTTTTAATAAGGAACTCTTGGCCACCGCGTCTTTATCGGATGTGTCCGTAACGGTGATGTACAGCTTCGGATAATCTTGCGAAATTACTGGAGGCTCGTCGGGTGGATCGTTGGGAACCTTATCCGACTCGAAGTCGTTCAAGTAGAACTTTGACGATTCGTTCCTCGAGACTTTTGACTGTCTCGAATTCTCATTCGCTAAATGCTCAACTGTCCCATCCGTGGAACATTCAGTATGTTGGCTGTCGATGCGATACGCGGGATAGAATTCAACCTCCTCGCCGGAAATCAATTTGTCCTCCAATTTAATGGCCTCCTTGAGTGCTGGCGCGTCCGCTGTGGCAGCAGTCAAACTATTATTCGGCAAACTCTGTTCGAGTTCGTTCCGACTCGCGGCACTGACGTCCTCGAGCCGCGCTTTATGCGAATCCCAGCCGCTCGTCGTTGCTTTAAACAAGCCATTTTGTAACGCGTGCTTTCTGGCGTCGTAACGCTTCTTTAGAATCATCCGACCACGCTTTAGCAAAACGCTCGCCATTTTTACTTTATCCCCGCTAGTGACATCGAGTGTCTTGCAACTCACTACAGTGCTATCTAGTATGCAGTCCGATTGAGAGAAAAAAAAGGAACAATTACAAAATTAATAAAACTCTCATTAACAAAATAGATACGCAAAATAGATTTAAAAAAATTAATGTTCGCGATATATCTCGTTTCATTAAGGGATATCCTATTCCCGACGCAGTATTCACTAAATTCTCTCGTATGTTTTCTTTTCTGTAAGGAGTTGTGTGTCAGTATACTATAGAGAATACGTTTTCTACTGTGTTATCCCGAAATCTTCACGATCCTGGACGTTCGTCGCGTATCGTAATATACTGTCACACAACAGTTTCTGTTTTAAGAGAGACCAACCGCTTCCGCTTGTTTACCTTTGTTAAGTTTATCGAGCTGTGCCTCCAGCGCTCGCAGCTTGTCTCTCTGCGCCTTGTTCTCCATTACCACGCGTTCCAGCTCGCTCTGGGCCTCGGTCTTGAAGTCGTTGGCAACTCGCACGGTCATCAGCAAGTCCGTCTGGAACTGCTCCCACTCCGTGCTCTCCTCCTGCCTCAGCTTACGCTCGTCGGCCAGCGCGCACTCCAACTCGAGCTGGCGCGCCTGAGCGTCGCGTTCCCTCCGTTGCGCGTCGCTCACCGCGGCCTTCAGGTCCCGTTTGTCCTCCAGGTGCCGTTGGCACTGCGCTTGCAATTCCGCCAGGGAGTCGCGGACGAGCTGCAGTTCCGTGCTCACAGAAAGTCGCTCGTCCTTCAACTGATTCAGCCTGTACTCCAAGTCGTCTATGGCGGACTTCGCGTTATTTCGAGCCACCTGAAATTTCATTTGCATAGAAAAGCTATCTTCTTTACCTATCACCTATGCAAACAGAAAAGTTCACTTGTGTATTTTTACAGTTTTAAAGGAAGCTAGTCGCTTCCGTAAAATTGCCTTCAAGTCCGTCTATTCTACACAAACCGAACCTACTTTATATTCCTCCTGAAGCTGCGAGTATTGATCCCTGAGTCGATCGTGGTCGCAATGCGAGCGCGCCAGCTGTTCCTGCAACGCTGCCGCCTGCGTCTCGAGCGTATCCTTCTCCCTTCTGGCCGCGTCCAGCAGCTCGTCCGCCTCGCTCTTGTTCTCCAGCTGCCTCGATTGCTCCAGCTCCTCGATCTTCGCCCGCGCGTTCTCCAACAAGGTCGCCAATCTGCTGATCTCTATACTGCGATTCGCGCCCTCCTGCCTCGCCTCCGTCAATTCCATGTCCAACTGCTTCCGTTCGACGTTCGCCGCGTCCACCGACGCCTCCAGTAACTCGACGCATTTCGTTAGACGTTCAGTCTCCGCCGCGCTGGCGTCAGCGGTCGCTCTCAGGCTCTTCAGTTCGCTGGTCAACTCCTCCTGCTTTTGCAGCAGCGTCTCTCGTTCCTCTTGCGCACTCTACAATCGCACAGGGCAGCAATCGGTAATCGGTCACCGTTCAATGTTTACGTATATAAATTTAGCGCGCTCACTTTCAGTAGGTCTACAAGTTTCTGTTCCCTCTCTGTATTGTAACCCTTGGATGCTTCCTGCGGCTGCTCCTCCCTCAAAAGTAGCCCCTGCAAGGTGTCAACTTTGGAACGGGAGTCTTCTAGCTTCTCCGTCTGACGGCACAGCGACTCCAAGAGAACCTCTTTCTCCTCGGTTAGTCTTTCGTTGTCCGTTTGCAGTTCGGTCAGTTGTGCCTGCGTGAACGACATTGATTCGTTTACATCCTCGTCTCCGCCCTTTTCAATATTAACAAGTGGTAACCTACCTGCAAGTCGCTCAACTCCTGAATGGTCGCCTGTAACTCCTCGTTCGTGGAATAATGCGTCTCCTCCATCTGCAGGATCCTGTCCTGCAGGCACGCGACCGAGATCTCGGACATCGAGCTGGAGGAGTGCTTGTCCCAGTCCGGCGTGGTGCACTGGGCCCCCTCCTGAGGTGTACTGGCGTTGTGCGCGGGCCCATCGTCCTGGGGAATGGCGATGGAGGCCGGCGCGGAGTTGTGAAGCCTCGAGGCGTCCAGCAGCAGCTGCTGCTTCTCCGAGTCCGAGAGCGGTGAATGCGCCACGTCCCTGAGACGAGCGCGAAGGGCCTCGTTCTCCTCGGAGAGGCGCTCTAGCTCCAGACGATTCTGCTCCTGTATGCCGAGGCAACGGATCGTTAGTCGACGGGCACGTGCGAAATCGATGGAACGGCGCGATTTTAGGACACGGGCGCGGACACTTCGAGCGAAATCAGGTGCCAGTGTACGTTAAACCGAAAAACAACGCTCGCACTATTGTAGCCACTCAATTACGACCGCAAACCAGCGTTAAACGGTTGCATCTGCGTTAAGCGTACACAGTCGTGCTCGCCGTCTCTCCGCACGTAGGAGCTGCAGTATCGCGCGACACTCCGGGAGGAGGGGTGGGAGGGGGAGGGCTCGTAAAAAGCGTCGGGAAAACAATCGCTACCGCGCCGGCGACGTTCGCGATCATAACAACATTCGCGGCCTCGTCCCGCGTTTCCGGGAAAGATGCGGGGCCGCGCGAGCGACGACGTCGTCGTCGCGTCAATGTCGCGGCGACGACGACGAGGGGGGCCGCGAAGGGGGCAGGAGACGACGCGGAGCCAATCCGGATTCGAGGTTAGAGTCGCGGGCGACGCACACGAGTCGCGTTGAACGCGGACGGTTCGCGCCGGCACGGGCCGGAAACTCCGCGGCGGTTCACACGAGACGATCGCGACCGGGGACGGGGGCGAGGGAGGGGGTTTACCGTGGGCGACGAGAAGCAACGCTTTTTCATATTCGGATCCGCTCGGCCTCCCCGGCTCTCTCTTCCTGCGTAAACATCCCCGCCGCGCTCCGCGCCCTCTGTGCGGCTCCGTTTTCGAGCGCGCAAAAACGACTCTCTTCGTGCCCTTT